GTGTCCTCTCCAAATGTCTTTTGTCACTTGTCATTCCTCAGGTATCTTCTAAGTGTCAACGGGCGAATGAAAAGTGAAACGTAAAATGAGATCAGCACCCTAAGGGCTGTTCGGCGGGTGCACCAGGGGTCACTTGTCGGGTAGAATTAACTGACAGCTCCAGGCCAGGGAGCAGACTTGGGCGGAAGGTTACACTGAGTCCCTCGGGACAGCCTACTCCCCGGATGATGACGCATTCCAATTCTAAGTTAGCTGGGGCTTGGTTAACGTTGATGGCACAACTCACATCTCTTATAAACTCACAAGCCCAGGGTAGTTTTTCAGGAAATGCGGATGTTCCGGGGTGCATTTGGAGGTCCTGGGCGGGTGGAAGCTGCCTGGCAGGCCTAGGGAACCTCAATCCCCCACCCAGTACCTGTGTCAAGCTTGAGGTGCGCACGGGGGGTTCACACAAGCCTTGGGCACCAGGAGGAGGCTTGAGAACTGGCACGAGCTGCTTATACCAGGGGTCACAGTTGTATTTGTTCCTCAACAGGAAACACACAGAGGACGGCCTTGGGGATCGTGAAGGTGACAGAGACACGGAGAGACCCTCGGAAGAGCCTGCTCTGCAGAGACAGAGTGGTGCCCGGGCTTTCCTGGTTCAGGTTCAAATCCAATCAATGTCATTTTAGCAGAGGCTCAGATACAGAGTGAGCCTGTGACATTATATCCCCGGAATGAAGAATTAACAGAAGACCCCACCTCCCGCTCTGCAGCCAACTCTTCTGTCGAAGAGGCCCAGTCTCCTCTGGATTTTGCGCAAAGCTGGGAGATGTCTGGGGCACACACGTCTTCGGTGCTGGCTTGGTTCCTGTCCCACATGCTACATGGCGTGTCGTCTCTGCTTGTCTGTGGAGGATGGCTGTGACCACGTTCCCACCAATGCTACCTGAAGAGCCACTAACAGCCAGGACATCCTCTCAAGCGAGGGAGTCACCACTGACCAGGAAGTGCCGTTGTGTCGCCTGGAGGGAGGCTCTGGCATGGGAAAGACCACCAAGCCTCATTCTTGGGGAAAATCTAGTTTGTAGAACACATGAGTCCTGGGCCAGCTGAGCCTCAAAGTTATGCACTGGATCAGAGCTCGAGCTTCGTTTCTCTACCTGACTCCAAGCACCCCTGGGATGCACAACACCCGATGCTGCTCTGCAGTCCCCCAGCTGTAGCCACACGTGAAGACGGCCGCTCCTTTTGAGGAAGTCCCCTCCACTGTGTGTCCCGTGAAAACAAGACATTGTGATTGGCCACCTGCTAGGCTTGACCCTTGAAAGGTGTTACAAGCGCCCCCCCTTTTTAAGAAGGGTGGGGTGGTTCAGAGCCAATTTATTGCGCACCTATCGTCCAGAGACTTGCTTCTCCCAGGTCTGCAAAAAAGCCGGGCTCTTCCATCATGGCTGGGGATCGGACATCCGAAACTGACATTCAGTAGAGAAATTATGCAGAATCACTCTTGGTGCCAAATGCAGGTGATCAACAGACTAAGCCGTTGAGGTTTTTAATAGAAAACCTCAAACAACAAAAAGCCACACCAACTGGTTATGAAAATGGGAAGATGTTCTCTTAGGTCTTATTTTAAAAGGGCACTGGCCAAAGAAGAATGTGTATGCATGTATGCATGTTCAGGATCAATATCAGGTTACTAACAAGGCCTTTAGATACACTATCTTACTTAATCCTTACCAGTTCTATGAGACTGGTGTTATGCCCATTGCAGGTGAAGAAACAAGCTTAAAGAACTTGAGTCTCCTGCACAAGTTCACGGAGAAAGCAAGAGAAGATCCCATGCTATCTCCTTCAATGAGGACACCTTGAATTCAGTTTAAGGAGTAAGAATGCAAGAACATGGAAGTTTAGGAGAAAGGTCAGGCATGGTCTTTGGCAGAAGGAGGTATTTTCCAGAGCTCTGTAACATGTTTACAGGGATTATTTAAAAAAGCTTCCAAGTTTAAGTCAGGCAATGTTGAGGATAAACTGGCATCTTCTCTGCAGGTTTGTCTTTGACGTGGTTACATGGATTATGGATTGCCAACTGAAGAATGTGTAGGGAGACATCCTGGAGATCTTGTTTCTTAGGTACACTTTGGACAAAGTGGGGTGAATCTTCAGGTCTCTGAAATCAGATTCAGGAAGACACAGGAATCTCCTACTTTTGGGACCCACTCCATGTGGCTCCTGCTCACCCCCACCCTAGCAACTTTCTTCAGGGTTTCTTGTTCTTGAATCCCAAACTGAATTCATGTGGTAACTTGAGTTTGATGCATTTCTTAGAGGAGTCCATGGTTGGATTACAAAACATAACCAGGACGGGAATCAGGGCAAGGGCTGGGCACATTTGATGGCGTGGGTTGTGGGCTCAAGAGGCCCCAAATGTGGTCTTTGCACAGACTCAGCCAGTCCCTGTGCTTCCAAGGGCCCATCACGTAGCCTGGCATTGTTGGGGACCAGGCCTCTGCGGTTTTCAATCCATGTCAGGAATCAGGAGCTCCCTCACAGGAGCCAGGCAGGGCAAGAGCTGGGCAAGGGCCACACACCCTCCAGAACGTTTTAGAGCCCAGAGCCGAGGCGTCTCAGAGTGCAAGTCCACAGGTGAATCCATGGCCCACAGCCTGGGTGAGACTTACCTGCTTTCCTGTTTTTCACGACCCCTCTCCATTTGCCACAGCTATAGACTTACTCTTTCTTATTTAACAGAAATGTGTTTTCAGGGCATAAACACGGAGCGTGCTAAGGGTCTTCAATGTAAATAACCTAGTCTGTATTGGGAAGACTAGTTTATTTCTAGAACTATCTGACATGAAAGACCAGAACGTAACTGAAATGCTCCTTGTTCAGAACATGCAGATGCCTCAGAGCCTAGAACAGGGCTTGGGGTGTAGTGTGTGCCCAATGCATCTCTGCTGAATACGTGACCAACGTGGCATCTTAGATTGCACCCTGCTACCGGGTATTTCAGGGAGCTTGCCTGACCATGAAATTTCCTTCCATGTCCTGTTAAGGTAGGGCTGGGCAGGACTTCTGGTAGCTGGGCTGTGCCCCGCTCCCCCGCCCCAGATAAAGAAGCCAGACAAAACTCAGCAAGGACAACATGGGTCGTGTGGATGGTCCCTTTTTGGTTCATTTATAATAGTTTCTTTGCCTCCTTATAGGTGGACAGATATGGGAAATGTTACATGTGGTCTGACAGGAAATGAAAGATTTCCAACAGTTTTTAAGTGGATGGATTTCAGGGCAAAAGCTTTTCATAAAAGAGGTAGTTAATAGCTTACATTGTATAAGACCACCCATATCCCCTTAAAAAATCATTCTGTAGTATAACTTTTAAAAAACAGCTTAGCTGGTTTTTGAACAGGCCACCTCATCACTAAAAACTGATTCTCTGTCATTCTTAACCTCAAAGCATTTTGAATAGCTCTTGCTGAGCAGATGCCACCCAATAATCTCTTATGTGACATTAAAAAAATGCACTCAAATACCAACAGATTCAACTTCATAGCACCATTCCAAAATACTAAACTTTCTTTGCACCTTTATTTTTATCTTTTTTTGGCACACATTTAAAGTATGGTCATCTTGTATATTTCTGAATAGCCTCACAGAAAAAAAACAAAAAACTAATTTTTAGGACAAAGCATTAACTCAGTTTATAGGAAAGATGATCTCAAGCAGGCTGCTCATTCTTCCTGGGCTCTCATTGGTTTGGATTCTGGGTGAGAATGTAGAAGGGGGCTAACTAACATCCTCCTGGATTATTCTAGAGACTGTTGCATGTTTGTATAGAACCTGTGGCTTAGGGATCAGTTACAACTCAAACCACGGCAACAACAGTCTTTTGTGATGACGCTACTCTCCTGATTGACAAAAGAATTGGGCTAGTAGGTGACTGCAGAGTTTGTATACATCTTTATCCAGAGTCTGTAAGAGAGAAATTAGAATAATATTTAATTCCCTCTTACGAATCTCCTTAGTTTAAGCTTGGAGCACTAAACTCTGTTCTGAGCAAGCAGAAGTATTGGAAGTTGAATTATAAATGGGTTTTTAATTCAACATATATTTGGCTGCACTGTTATGTAAGAAGACTGACTAAGTGATGTGGGAGTTGACAGATGAGAGACTGCTTGCAGAAAAAAAAAAATTATTTTGTTCCTCGTGACCAGAGAGTCACGTCTCACACTGATTATAATGCATCTTCCTGTCTAACTTCCATAGAATGCTTTGAGTAACGGGAACAAAGACAGGCATGGTGAGGGGGCTGCAGACTTTGGAGCTTAGTGAGATTGAAGAGGGATGAGAAGAGGAAGAGTCAGAGTAAGAAAGGACTCTACTATCTGCGTGATGGCGTGGAAGTGTCAAAGAAGTTGATTATTACACGATAACAGTCAATGATCCAGGAAGAGGAAGCTTAAATTTGAAGTGAGTAGTATTGAAAAGGTACTGTGCACCAGGTAGGAAGGAGTATGAGAATAGCAATACACCCTGCATTAGAGAGAATCTGTACTACACACACCACAGACAATATAACAGGTTCTTTTTAACATTGCACAATATAGATATCATACACGGTAGAGTCAACTAAATGCAAGATAACTCTGAGGCACACAGAAGAAACATGGAATAGATTGAACTTTGATTAAATTTAAGATGGAGTTAGTCCAACGCAGAATGTTACAGTTTCAGGCCAGTAAGCTTTTGAGAGCTCACCTCAAGGGGTGGGTACCACCTCCCAGATATGATGAAAATTCTCTCTCAGTGTTGTTAGAGAAAGACTAATTAGCTAAATAATTTGAGAAAATCAAACGGTTGCTCCCCATTCTAAAGGAGGTAACCCCTACAGGTCTCTTCAAACACAGGGTTTTAAGATGTGAGTTCATGCCAGTACTTCCCCAATTTCTTGTAAACAACTTGGTTACCATGAAACCACTTTAAGGAAACTACAACAGTATTCAAGAACACCCATCACAGTGCTTAACAAGATTTAATGTACATTTATTCTTAACATGTGGAACATATAAAGATTTTATACTGAATAAATGATATTCATTAAGCCAGAGGAAAAGGAGGAATTTACATCAAGTTTTTTCTTTTTTTTTTAAACTACATTATCTTGAAATACAAATGTGGATTCTTGTCACTGAAAAATCTTTGCAGTTGTGTTTCTTCCTTTGAGTTGTATTTTTTTCATTTTCTCTTTTTTGTCTGTACTGATAACCATTCTCTAAATCAATCCATATGCAACCATTTCCACACCTTGATTCATGAAGCAAATTGTGATCAGCTGCTCTCCCGAAATAGAGCATGACTTTATACATACAGAAACTTGTACATTACCCTCTTTTTTTGTTTGTTTTTGTTTTTTGTATTTTTTCTTCCTTTTTTTTTTTTTTTTTGGAGATATGGCCCTAATGAAAAAATATATAAAATAAAAATAAAAAATTATTTAAATCTACCATCACTTCGTAGTTACCACATCATGAAAAAGAAACTAAAAACTTTGTACTAAAAAAAAAAAAAAGAAAAGAAAAAAATGAGGGTATGTTTAATGTACAACTTCTATATACATCACAGCCCATAGGCAGTAAAAAAAATATTTAAAAAATGATTAAAGGAATTGTGAAGCACTGTCATGTGGAAGGTCAAATGCCGGACAGCAGACATGACGGTAGTGGTGAGGAAGCAATTTCTGTTGATCGTTGTCAGGTATGTATTTTCAATCTTAACTTAAAAAACATTGTTTTTGCTCCTAGCCTAATGTAACCATTTTGTTGTGGAGAAACCAGTATCATTTCATAGTTCTGACTACTGACTGACACACCTCCTGAGCCCCTAGACCTATATCTCTAGGAATTTCTATTGCACAGAGCTTTGGGTGATGGGATGCAGTTTTTTTTTTCTTTTCTCCCCATTTTCTGAAGAATAAAATACATAGGAAATTGGTAATTGTTCACCTCTTTGCCTCAGTGTGGTGAAATTTTTCCCATCTTAGCATCTTTTGCCACAACTTTTTCTTTAAAGTCAATTCGCTTCCCCCAAAAATGCAATACAACATGGAAAAGAACATTAAAAAGAAAATCTGTGAAAAACAAGAAGTGACCTTTGAATGCACTAGACAGCAACTTTGGTTAAAAAAAAAAAGAAATTAAAAAACCCCAAAAGGATGTACTTGTACACACAGACAGCAAATATTAATTTCATAACTGTTCAAATTAATTATTTCTTTAATTCCCAATTGGTAAATAGTGAATGGGGCAGAGGAGCAAAGGTTTTCTTTTCCTTCTTCCTACGCTGGATAAACAAGAACAGAAAACAGCCCGTTATATGTGACCCTCTAATCTTCACTCACACATGCTTGCCTTCTCACTTGTGTCATAACTGCCCAATCTGAAATAGTACATCACAGATGACAGATGCAACCAGAGAGTTCAGGACAGCTGATATCGAGATATCCAGCAACCGGCCCTCGTGCAAGAGGAATTCCGAGCGGTTTTCGTCCACTCTGGCCATGGCCAGCAGAGCCTTGGCCGCCCTGCACATCATGTCCACACTCGGGGGCTCCAGGGGCGGGGGCTGCATGTGCATGAGGTTATGCTGGCTCTGCTGGTACTGGGCCATTGTGACCCCGTCCTCCAGGAAGCTTATCAAGTTTCCAATGCTTCCTTTCTGCACAGCTATTGCCCTTGCTGCAAGCGCGTCCCCTTGGGCAAGGTTCGATAAGAGTGCCATGGACATTTCTCGACAGACTGGGTTTTTGCGGTCCCCAACGTACCTAACTAGCGTAGCATAGAATTTCTCCTGACGACTAAATGGAGGTGTGGCCAAGATGAGGTCCACGTTATTGTCCTGGATACTGAGTTTACAGAGGGTCTCCAGCACAAGTCTCTGAGGCGATAGGACCGAGTTGGGTCCCACAGTTGGAAAGGGGTCTTGTGCCTCCGCAGATGGGCACACCATCCAGTGCAGCAAGCCATCCAAAATCGGCAAGCAGATGCTTTCCGTGTAAGCAGACAAGTCTAGCTGCCCAGAAATGTTGGCTAGCGTGACCAGTGTGTTATCCCTCAAAACCTCCAGGCAGTCCCACCACCACTCATCCTTGCTGCAGACCACCCCCTTGTCCTCGTCCTCCTCTTTCTCATAGGTTTGCGGTGCTCGTTTTCTCTCGGGATGCTCGTGGTGAAGAAGAATCAGCTTCCCCAGGATCAGCACCAAGCCTGGATGTTTGGACATCTCGGCATCGTTGCCAGGCACGAAAGACAAGCTCCGGACGATGTTGGACACACAAATGCAGCGTTTGGCCAGCGAGTCCTGCCAGTGCGCAATGGTGCACAGGGGTGTCTCGTCTCGGCTCCGCGGCTCGTCCTCCAGCAGCTTGATGTTCCGGTGACTTCTGGCCTGCTGTATGCCAAAGGGAAACTTACTGCTCTCGGTCTGGGGCCCAGGGTCTGCGTCTTCAGGCAGCGCCCCTGGCCGAGCAGACAGGACATCATCGATGGTCGCTATGATGCTCTTCTCCTGCTGCTCCTCAGAATCTCCTTTGCCTTCCTGCTCTTTCTTTCTGCCTGTGGAGCTTGAGGGGGGAGGGGGACGCCTGCGAGGGGGAATTTCCATCTTGCTCTCAAAGTGAGTCTGGATGTGCTCGGTGGTGTCGCCCCCGCCGAGCTGCCAGTGCAGAAGCCCGCTGCTGAACTCCTGCACGCGCCCCAGCCTGTCGGATCGGTCAACGACAAACAGGTTGTTCTTTTTGACTATCTTGATTGGCAGCCTGTCAAACTTACTGGCCTGCTTGGGCTTCTCCTTTGGGTCTGCAGTGGCGTCCGGAGTGGTCAGAGCAGCACTGCTCTTGTCATTGGCTTCTGTTTTCTCACTGTCTTCCTCTTCATCCTCCTCGTCCGTCTCATCGTCATCAATACATTCAGCATCTTCGTCCTCCCTCCCGGAATCATCTGCCAAAGACTGGCTGTCATCTCTCCGTGCTGCACTGTGATCGAGTGCTTTTTGGCTGGGGTCTCCCACTTCATATTCCATGAGAATTCCAAAAATGTCAATCAGACATTTTCTAAAGTACTCGACTAAGAGTTCCAGAAATCCAGACAACTGGGGAGGAAGAGGAGAAGAAAGAGAAAGAACAGGTACAGTGTCACGATGTCAGACATGACTGACAGTCATCAATTCATGCACACACATGTTAATTCCTCTTTGGCTGGGCCACGAAAGATAAACTACCTGAATTTCCCATAACAAACTCAACTGTTAGCACGTCTCCTATTTGCTGCTTACTTTCTTATACTACCAACATAAAAACTTTTTATTTTCATCCTTCTATTATCAATGAGGGAGTGCTTTGCTGTTCTTTACCTATTTTTTTATGACTTAGATACAATGCTTTCATTATTAGAAGAGTTGCAACGTGAATTTTATAGACTCTTTTGCCCAAAGTGACTCTGCTCACTTCTATTATTTATCTGAGACTTGCTTGCAGGGATTTTTACGCTTATTATTCTTAGGATTTCATGGTTATTTTTGTTGCAGGTGTCATAGGTTACCCTAATTTATGTTCGCTATATATCTTTTGGAGAAGATAATTTTGGCAACGCAGAAGCTCATGAACACTGAAAATTAAAAACAAATCAATTTAGCTTCTGATAAGTAAATTAGAATGTCTCATAAAATCCAATTTTACATTTCAGATATTCACAACTGTAGCTGAAAGACAAAAGCTGCTATGTGAGAACCGCTGCCTGTGAACAGGCTTGGTCTCCTTTAAGCCAATGCTGTGTTAGGAACCAGACAATACTTACTCCACATGGGGCAACTGCAGGCCCCTCCCCCAGCACACCAGCCACACTAGGGACTATAAAGAGTCGTCACAAAAAGGATTCCCTAATGGCAGATGTTATGGAAATCAGTCATACCTTCATCTACTGTCAGTTTCTATAAAGTGGGGTTGGAGTTATGAAGACATAAAGAAAAACCCAAGCACCTAAGAGAAAGTCTTTGCTTTCAGGGTGCTGAGGGTACAATGTTGCAAGAGGATTTTCCCTCACTCCTGAAATTTCCTTTTTTTCCCCCAGGGAAAAAGGACAGTTAATAAGGCAATTCTGGTTATGAAAATGTGTGATCAACAACAATTCACCAAATGTAAGGATTTAAGTTAATTACTCTCACAAATGCAGTATAAATTTTTTAATATATATTTTCTGTAAAAACAGACCTCATGCAGTGTTTATAACCTTATTAATACACTTCTATCCACTGAAAAATCGCCTTTCTGGGCTATAATAAAGACTTAAGTGAGAGAAGAGAGAGGAAGTGGAACATTTGGTCTTATTTCAATAGAAGCAAGGAAAAATTAGATGCTTTAGCTTTTTTCACTGAAAGTAGAGAGTAGTTCATACACTGAAGGGAAAATAACCTTTCTCATTTTTATATCTAAACATTTCTTTACAAGTCTGTAGCCCAGGTGACTCGAGGGCATCTTCCCTAGACTTCAGTCCTCCTCCTCTCTTCTAGTGATTATGCTGGAAGTGACTTTAAGCCTTGCTCTGCACAAAGGAGTATCTTAAAAATCACTAAAAGTGGTAGGATTTTATATGACTGCTTCAAAATAACCTGGAGAGAGGCAGACGTGGGAGAGCTGAGACTAAGATACGTGTGACTGTGAATTCAGAACTATTTGAGCTCAATGGTGGTCCACTTCTATGTATTTTATACATTCTCTCTATAACACAAAACTTTTTGATTTGATACTTCTTTTTAATTAAAATAAAGCTGCCAAGTCTTCCTAGAAAGTAGGGTGATGTTCCATTGCAACCAATTGTGTTCCCAACAATGACTATAGTCATAACTTTATGTTACATTTCAGTTAATTCCCATTGGCCTGCTAATATTCATTCTGGACAATGTAACTTTATTACTGTCATCTATTACATACACACAGTTACTGTTTTCCTGTGAAAAACATAGGTATGTATTATCCCACACTAAATTCTCAGACATTGATGAATGCTGGTTTAAAACACCTGCAATATTTAACAATGTTAGTCAGTCAGTGTTAACTAACTCAGGCATTAGTTCAAGCATGAGTATGTACTGCTCAATGTTCTAATATTGCAATTTGGTCCTTAGTAGGATGGGTGTTGGCTTACCTGGGAGAGATTAAAAGTAGCAACAGTGCTGTCATCATACAGAAGGATATTAATAGTGTCCAAAGCCCAAGTACTTTCAGCCAGAAGACCTGATTTAAGGGACATCATCACACGCCATGCCTCAGGAGTAACTAAAAAAGAAAAGAACAAGAATATCATCAATACACACTCTATGCATGAGAGAATGAAGGTAACAGAAGAGGAAGAAAAAAGAAGTGAAGTGTTGCCTTAAGTACTGATTTTAAACAAATGCTCTAAGGGACAGTTAAGTGTGATCATTTTCAGATTTTAAATGGAGGCAATTAAGCTGTAAGAAACTTCTGTTGTTTAAGATCTTTTCGCTCTGTTGGTTGCCCATGAGCCAAAAGTGCTTCTAGAGGTGGGGCAGTTAAGTGCACACGGTCCTTCCTCACCTCTGGTTTATTTCCTTAGCTACCCAACAGGGTCTGTAATGTGGTATCAGAGTTCTTAACAACTGAGTTAGACTAAAAAGTGGTATTTGTCTTCGTTTTCCTTCTCCGTTCACAAGTGTCTCAAGGTGGCATCGTGGAAGACTGCCAAGTATGCAGAATATAAAAGCAAAATTTAATCCCCAAATAGCACATCCTCAGATATAGTCTTGGTTTTCTCATGCTGTTTTCTTCTATTTCTGTGCTCCTGCCCTCAGAACATGCTGCTGACAAATATTAGCACTTTGACGGTTCAGATTTTTTAAGAGTGTGGTCCCAGCCAAGGAATGGGAAATAGAAGGCCTGCATTTTTTGTTGTTTCCCTATTCCTGCTACTGAAAAAAACAAAATGATAAGATAAAAAGTTGTGAGATTTGTCATAAGATGGGACTGGGAGAACAGACTTGTCACACATCTGGATTTAACAAAAGCTGTGTCGGAAAGCCTGACTCATGTGTGGCACGAGCCTGGGATGGTACAGGGACCCACTCAATCAGAACTGTGCACTGCATGGACATGGGGGCAGGGGCAGGCTCTCCAGGTGCCAGGAGTAATCTGATGGGGGGTGGTGGCAAGGACCATGGCTTTTCTGCCTTTATTTTAATTTCATCTAGTTTTAAATTTTCTAGAATAGGCACATATTGCTTTTAGAAAAGTCAAACTTTCTTTTTAAAACAAGGAACTTAAATTTCCCTAGGTGGAAGATACATACTATATAATATATACGAAGAGACTTTAAAAAAAATTTAGAAATATTTATTTACTCACACATATACATGTGCATATATATATTTCTATATATAAAATGGTGCTGGTACCTCTTTCTTTCCCCTTGTAACCCCTAAATATAAAAAAAGCCTTTGTTTTTTCTTTCTCTCTATATATCCTGAATGTCCAATGATTGAAAATATCCTTAATGTCATCAATTTAATATCATTAATTATCTAAAAAATTATTTTAAGTCAACTGCTTATCCCATTTTGGGAAAAAAATGTTTTCTTATACAACCAAGATCTTTTTCCTTGCCATGTTAAAAGTACTTCAAAATTAACGCAGAAAACCTGTGTGGACTCCCAGACATTCCAGATCTTTGATTAGTATTCAGAACATCCCACAGAGGATAAACAAGCAACATCAGCATTCCAGTGGCACAGTTCCTTGGTCCATGTCTACCAGTGCGTCGCATGACATCAGTTCTATACATCATGGCACAGCATATTCTTTTTTTTTTTTTTTTTTGAGCTGGAGTCTCACCCACTGGAGTGCAGTGGCTGCTCCCGGCCACCGCAGCCTCAACCTGCTGGGCTCCGGTGATCCTTCTGCCTCAGCTTTCCAAGTAGTTGGAACTACAGGCATGCGCTACCACGCCCGGCTGATTTTTTGATTTATTGTAGAGATGAGGTCTCGCTGCCCAGGCAGGTCTCGAACCCGCGGGCTCAGTCAATCCACTCACCTCAGCCTCCCAAAGGCGTGGGATTACAGGCTGAGCCACCGAGCCCGGCTGGCACAGCATAGTCTATATGTCATATCATCTATCAACCTATGTACCATTTCCAGGCTCCCACTTTTCCCAGGGAAATTCATTACAGACTGGCTTGGATTCAGATTTTCCTAGGTCACCTTTAGCATTTCATTAGCCTCATAGTGGGTCTTTTAGGCACATATTGCAGAGATTGAGTGGCTTGGTTAAGGTCAAATCTTTAAGCTCAAAACATAGTATATAATCCCTGATCTCTTACCTGGAGCACTAATCTCTCATACAAACAACATTCGCATGTAAAACTACCATTGTAACTCAAGCTCTTCTCCAGCCCTGTTTCTTAATACAGATTCGTGCCTTCTAACTATTGATCCTGTATAAAAACACATCCTGATAACTTCTAGTCTTAACAACTTCAACCCTTTGAGATGAACAGGAACTACGTCTAAACTAAAATGGAATTCAACATTGCAACTGAAATTCACTTCAGGAACAAACCTTTGGAATTCTTACCGATATCTTTTGAGGTAATCTTTCGCCTTTGTTTTAAGACCGGCTGTGACGCTTCCACTGAGCCAGGAGGAAAGGTGATCTCCCTCCTGATTGGGGGCGGCTGGGGGGGTGGTCCGGTGACCTGGGATGTGGGGACTGTGGGCATGACCTTCTGCATCTTCATAGAGGGCAGAAAGGGAGACTTGCTTGGAGACATGCGGTTCTCCAGGGAGCGCTGGAAGGATGCTGGGCTGGGCGCCCTGGAGATGTGGTTTGGCAGTGACGGTGGCGTCTGGTAGGACGGCTGCGGCGGGCGCGTGATGGGCTGCATGGAGGCTGAGGACGACATATAAGGCTGACGCTGGCTGATGTGAGAAGGCCACTGGCTCTCGTGATTTATCCTTTGATCAGGTACCATCATATCGTCTGTGCGGTTCATGCCTGGGTACGGAGGTGCCTGCGCAGGGCCACCTGGGCCCTGCCTGTTCTGGTACGGGTAAGGCATATCGTTGCGTGTCGCCCACATGTTCTGCTGAGGCCCTTCGCTGGAGGACGACTGCATCGGGCCACCCATCATCTGAGGCGGGATTCCATGTGTCTGTATCTGCCCCGGGCCCTGCATCCTCTCTCTGTTGTAGGGGTATGGATACTGGCCCTGTATGGGCCTCCTGTCCGGCCCCGAGTAGGAGCTTCCATACTGGTTGTACATCTCCTGCTGCTGGGTGCTGTACTGCATGTTGTACATGTCTCCCTCATGGCGCTTGGCCGGAGGCCCATACATGCCATCCATATGGCGCTTGTAATTCTGAAATTCACAGAAAGACAAATCGTACTGATGTGCTCTTGCAGTTATAGTCACACACACTTAAATTAGGCAAACAGTTATTACCTGGTAGAATGTTATGCAAAGCTTCCAGAACAACTGAGACCTAACCATTTATGTGCAGTATTTCAGTATCATATAACACCATGGCGTGCACTCAGAAGAGGGCTTCCAAAGTTTGTTTTCATGTACTTGAAACTTATGGTGTGCGTGTGTGTGGAGGTGGGGGCTGGGGAGGGGGAAGAGGCTTCCTCTCCTTTGGCTGCAACTAAACCTTGGGACAGCAGTGTTGGTGACTACCACAGGCTGGAATGGGACTTGGAGCTACACTAAGATCATCTCAGGAAGCAGCAGGCTCAATCTCTCAGGGGTAGGGAGGATCCTAGGGGCCAGCCTGGAAGGGCCTGGCTTAAATGGATTTCTTAGGTCTCACTTTACAGAAAAGCCTCAAACAGAATTTGGCTCCTCAGATTGGACCATGTTACCTGGTCTTCATCCTATGGTTCCTGCCCTGACTTCCAGCTTGGCCTGGTCAGAATCTCCCATGGAACCCTGCTGGTCCTGGCTCTGAGAACAGGGCAGGCATAGTACCTGCTACTGAGCTCTCCTCCTGGGACCAGTGCTTAGTCTGGGTGGGATGGAATGTGATTGGGAGGCATGAGATGCTGATGTTTTCATGAGTACTCTTTCATTTTACTTGAAAATTGTTTAAGAACAGTTGGTTTAATAATACAATTCACTGTACCTATATGTTCCAGCAAAATTAAGTGTTTAAAAACTGCTTTACAACTGTAAAATTCTGAAAAAAACTCAAAAGACAAAAACAAAGCCTTTAATTTTACAAGATATCTCAGACCTAAAAATTGTTTGTAGACAGCCAAGTTCTACATGTCTGAAAGGCCATTACCACGAAGTGCAACTCCCTGCACTGGTACTGATGACTGCTGTGGGCTCTTACAAGGCTCTGAGCTGCAACGGCCACCTGTGAACCAGTAGAATCCTATCCAAGTTCCTTAAATGTATGGTCATTAAAATTTCACTTTTAAAAAGTCAATTTACAATCACTATTAATATGTAATATTTTAAGTAGCTTTTTCTATAAACTATTCTCTTTAAAACGCTGACAAACTTCTATTCTAAAATGGCTTCTGACATAATAGTACATACAACAGTGTATACACAATAGTAGACACATGTTTAAAATATACTGACTCTAATTTGGGCTTGTTGTCACTTGCAAAATGTACCTAACATCTTAAAACATGCTGTATTTGTTTGTGGATACCTTATAGCAAGAGCTATTTTTTAATTTGATGCTTCGGCATCCCAGGAGTACTTTCTAGCACTAACTCCGTTTCGAATGTTCAATAAATGCTAATCACTTTGTTATAATTTCTAAAAATCTTCAGAAGTAAGACAAGTTTGAGTTTTAGCCTCCAGGAGAGAAACAGAAAACAGAGCCCACACCCGCTCACCAACTCACCGGCTGCTGTGGGTACAGGCCAGGCTGGTGCCCTCCATACGGCGACTGTCCCGAGGGAGGACCTTGGCCTGGATACTGTTGCCCGTAAGGTTCATGCCTAGAACAAGGCATTCAAAGATAATGTAATTGACAAAGAACTCCAGGCGCACACAGAAATAAACAATCCATTTCCAGGGCCCCCACACCCCCAACCGGCTCTGTCCTGCCGCCACTCTGCACCCTCCAACAGAGGCACTTTAACTTGTAGCAAAGGCGATGGGAACACCCATTATGGGCATGGTGCCAGGCTCCTGGTTCGGGCTGTTGGTTAATAGGTGTCAGAAGAAGACCGGTTGAACAGGCAGGCACCCTGTGAGTCCTTGTCAAAGCCTGTGGCCTTGGCCTTTGAGGAAGAAGCTTCACTTACCCACTGAGTGCCACACTGCACTGTGAGTGAGTTGTGAGAGCTAGAAACAATGAAAATAATCTAAGGCTCAAAAGCAGTATTTTTAGGAGGACCAGAACACTGAAAATGTGTCTGCTTCTCATGTTCCCTACAAATATAAAATGCTTACTTTTTAAAGGTATACTTAAAGTCAATCCAAATGACACTGAGTTAGCTAACAATAGTCTGGATACAAGTATGCAAAACTTTGAAGCCCTGAGCCCTAAAAGGCAAAGAACAACAGGGATGATTTAAATGTACTCCTATTAAATGTTAAAGTGGAAATGAAGAATGCATTTATTTTTCAACTGCTATTATATTGAGAAATTTTAAATACCATTCAAAATAGCATGTTTTAAAGGGCACTAGATTTGGAAGTTTGAAAAATAAGTTAGTGAAGGTTAGTATATTAAATCTTTTAAGAGAATAGCTGTACTTGAATATATTTCTAAGCTAATTAAGAAATGAGAATAATAACTCCAAATGTTTAGGATATCACATGTAAAATAGACACAGGAAGTTTTTGCCAACTACTCTGATATCCTAGAAGAAAGCTTATAGTTAGGAGGAAAGAAATATGATAAATATGAATAAAATTTAAGCTGAGTAATAAGTAACATTTTTTGGAAGAAAAAACTTAACAATGAGGTAAACTTCTTTCTCTAATATGGTAGAGAAAGACAACTGTTCTAATCATGTCAACCAAAAAAAAAAAAAGAAATCAAAGCTTTTCCTGGACTTTCAAACCTAACTAAAATCCCTGATCCAGCAACACTAGACAAACATTTCATAATGGTTAGCTGGCTAATGTAGACATCACAGGTAATATTAGACACATTGTGGCCATGGTAAGCATTAAAATAATCAATTCCTGGGTCACTATGAGAAAGCATCGCTTCTCTGTGAGCATGGGATGGCTATGTGCTCGAGAACCAGGTTCCCAGACAATGCCATAAAGAAATCACTATTTTTCTTTTCTTTTTTTTTTGAGTTGGAGTCTTACTCTATCGCTGAGGCTAGAGTGCAGTGGTATGCTCATGGCCACCGCAGCCTCGACCTGCTGGTCTCAGGTGATCCTTCCGCTTCAACCTTCTAAGTAGCTGGAACTATAGGCATGTGCTACCATGCCTGGCTAATTTTTTGATTTATTGTAGAGATGAGGTCTCACCAAGTTGTCCAGGCTGGTCTCAAACCCCTGGGTTCAGGCAATTCTCTCGCCTCGGCCTCCCAAAGTGCTGGCATTGCAGGTGTGAGCTACCGCAGAAATCACAATTTTTCAAACGTCCCCCGCTTTGTATTAAAAGAAATTCTTTCCACCAGTTAACCCTCCCTATGACTCTAGCACGTGGACTGACAAAAGGCAGGTGGCTCTGGCCAGGTGTTCTAGGTGGAGCCGGCACAGCCAGCTTCCAAGGCAGAGTTCTGAAAACCGGCCCTGCCCTGAGGAGGGCCTGCTATTGTGCTTCTTCTTTAAAAATCAGAAATAATGATTAAAGCCTGGCTTCTCATCATTTCTCTTATTAAGGAGATAGAGAACACGCCAACAAAAGGAAGGGGCTTTTGTGAGAATAAGTTATCAAAGTTGGGCACAGGTAATGGGCCTTCTTCACAAAGCAGCGTACCTAAGCCACTATTTTAAGAAGTAGTTTTCAGATGATGTCTCAGACATTTCAGCGCCTTTTCTTCTAGTTAATTAAAAATCAATCGGCATCAGTTCTGCAGCCTAACTTGCCATTTCAATGTCAAGATGACTTCCTTAAGAGAGGCTACAAGCCGGGCTTGGTGGCTCGGCCTGTAATCCCGCACCTTGGGAGGCTGAGGTGAGTGGATTGCCTAAGCCCGCGGGTTAGAGATCCACCTGGGCAACTTGATGAGACTCATCTCTACAATAAATCAAAAAAAAAAAAATTAGCCGGGGGTGGTAATGCAAGTCTGTAGTTCCAGCTACTTGGAAGGCTGAGGCGGAAGGATCGCTGGAGCCCAGCAGGTAGAGGCTGGGG